AAAAAAAAAAAAAAAAAAAGGGATCACAGACCTAAAGGTAAAACCTAAAACTCCTAAGGAAAAAAAATCTCTGTGACCTTGGGTTAAGCAAAGAGTTCTTTGATACACCAAAAGTATGCTCTGTAAAAGACAAAAATTGATCAGTCTTACTTAATCAAAATCAAGAACTTTTGCCCTTTAAAAAGACATTGTTCAAAGACAAGTCACGTACTACGAAAAAAATATTTTAAAATCATATATCTGATAAAAGACTTGGATCCAGAATACATACAGAACTCTCAAATTCAGTAAGAAAGCAAATAACCCAATAAAGAAAAAAATGGGCAAAAGATTTGAATATTTCACCAAAGAAGATACACAGATGGGAAATAAGGACATGAAAAGATTCCCAACATCATTAGTCATTAGAGAAATACAAATTAAAACCACAGTGTAATACCACTACACACATATTAGAATGTCTAAAATTTAAAAGACTGACCATATGAAATGCTGGCAAGGATGTGGAAAAACTGGAACTCTGGTGGGAATGTAAAGTAATGCAATCACTTTGGAAAATATTTGGCAGCTTATTAAAAAGTTAACACACACCTACCTACCATATGATCAAGCTATTCCATGCCTAAGTATTCACTCAAGAGGAATCAAAGCATATGTCTATATAAAGACTTGCACCCCAATATTCAGAGCAGTTTGCTATAGAATAGCCCAAAACTAGAAACAACCCAAATGTCCATCAACAGGTGAGGGATAAACAACTACATCCAAACTACAGAATACCTCTCAGCAATCAAGGGTTAACTGCTGATACACACAACAACACAGATGGAACCTCAAAATAATTTTGCTGAGTGAAATCATACAAAAAAGATTACCTATCAATGATTCCATTTACGTAAGATTCTGGAAAATACAACTAATTCACAGTGACAGAAAGTAGATCCACTAACACTTGAGGATGGGGAGGTAGGAAAAAGGGAGGGATCACAAAAGGATATGAGAAAACTTCTGGATGGATATTTTCATTATCTTGATGATGGTGATGGTTTCACAAGTATACACAACATATGTCAAAACGTATCAAATCGTATACTTTAAATGTGTGTAGTTTATTCCATGCCAATTACATGTACTTCCATAAAGCCACTTTTTTAAAAAAAACTAAACCCCAGTTGGGGGGAGAGGGATACACTGTGTTGCGATCCCCTTACCGGTCACAAAAAAAAAAAAAAAAAAATCCTGTTGGCTACTTTTAATGACTGGACATTTTTGTCACCCTTTCATTGTGTCATAAGATCATCATTTCATAAGATCAAGTAATGGAAACAGGAAGAATGTGGGGAATGACACAGGAGGAACAAATGGTACTTTAGATCATTTGGATTCTAATGTAAATTTACTACAGATTGCAGAAATTTAATTTAGTCAGTCCCTAAAGGTATTAAAAACTCTTGAGCTATCAAAGTACAACAAAGATACTTGCTCAAATTCACATGCAATAACAAGAGCATTAATATATCATTTTCCATTTTTTCTAAAACATAATAGCAACAAACAAAAAAATCACCAAAAAACAAATACTTCTTGAACTTCTTCAACTTTTGTTCTGAATTCGTGGCACATTCAGAATCTAACTTCTTAAAATAGCCATATAGAGATCATTAAAATTAATAGTTTCTATGAAATTAGAAACCTGTTAAAAAGGGCTACCTTTAATCCACTGAATAAAAAAATAATGAATGAGATTTAAAGGCTAAAAATGCAGTATCATCGTTGTATGTCAGTATGGATAAAAACAATCACTTACTCCATTCTCCTTTCTTCGATGTTCACCGGGAACTTTCACACCATTTCTTTTTAAACTTGGATCCTGAGACCTTGGTCCACTCACTAAAGACAAAATTTTTAAACTATGCATTAACACTAAAGTTCACAGATTTTTAAAGTACCAGTTCATTTCTGAGTTCTGTTGTTAATGCTGTTTGATATTTTAAGTATGCATTCAACATAAAGTATTTTCTAATAGCAATGAAGTTAAGGTTTCATAATTTCATTGAGTTTTAGAAAATCAATTACAGGGCTGGCCCATGGCTCACTTGGGAGAGTGTGGTGCTGATAACACAAAGGCCACGGGTTCAGATCCCTATATAGGGATGGCCGGTTAGCTCACTTAGGAGAGCGTGGGGCTGACAACACCAAGTCAAAGGTTAAGATCCCCTTACTGGTAATCTTTAAAAAAAAAAAAAAAAGAAAATCAATTACATGGAACAGTAATAGTTGGCACTAAGAAATATCACACACCACCTACCCACTAGGAAAGCTGTCTGATTCATATATCAATGGAGGAAAAATTAACAAAATCAATGTATTTATTTATTTATTTTTTTAAGATGACCAGTAAGGGGATCTTAACCCTTGGCTTGGTGTTCTCCGCACCACGCTCAGCCAGTGAGTGAATCAGCCATCCCTATATAGGATCCAAACCTGTGGCCTTGGTGTTATCAGCACCATACTCTCCTGAGTGAGCCATGGGCAGGCCCTAATGTATTTAATTTTTAATGACTATGGGTACTTCAGACTATTTGCTTATAGTTGTTCCTCCTAGTTCTCTATTTAGCTACTAAGTAGTGAAATCAAGAAGAGCTTCGTTGAAATAAATAATTGGAAATTAAATCATCCATCCTTGTATCCATTAACAGTGTTTGTAACTTACACGGGAAGGGAGTAATTGAAAATAAAACAAGTATTTTGATTGATTGGTTTATTAAGGACATTTTGTGGTAATTTGTAAGTACTATGAAATACTTCTCCATTTACTTAAGTAAAAAATTTCTGTTTTCTTAGTTTGGGACAGTACTAACTGGAAAACACTGTGTGTTGTGCTTTTTTTGGCTAAAAAAATTTAAGCCAAAATACATGGGTCTCTCAGTGCCACTTAACGCATGTGAAAAGAGAAAGCTTAATTTAAATTAAGACATTATAAGAAACAAATACTATCAATAAGGAGAGTTTTTAAAATACATTAAATTAAGCTCATACCTCTACGTCCCAGGAATTAGGAAAATTATTAAATTACTTCCCAATAAATTTTACTGTTTTTCCAAGAAATTTTAGATTAAAGATTCTTTTGAATGAAATGTCTATTATACCTGCCAGGAAGCTTAGCACAAATTCCCATGCCAAACATGTCTATCCTCAGAGCCAGGTGTCACACTTACACTAACTCTAATGTGTTAGCTTTGCTGGAGTAAGCAGAACGGAAGCCATGTTGGGACCTAACACCACCTGGGCTGCAAGGCGGGGGCAAGGGACAGGGATTTTAAAAAGGACAGTATTTCTTTCTCTCCACTCTTTCTTATCTTGCTTGCTAAATTGTTCTCCAGTTAATCAGTGCTTTCAAAGCTAACAGTTCCTTGAGACTTGTATAGTTTTGAGAAGTGATCTAGGCCAAATGACTGGAAGCTGACTCTGGGCACCAGCCAAGTCAAACAGAACTCTGTGAAGTGAAACTATGTAAGACTGCAGAAAAGATGACTCTGCACTGGAACAAACCAATTTCTTGCAGGGTCCTGAGATAATAGTGAAGATGAGAGCAGAAACCAGAGGCGGCCTTGGCGAGACCTTGTACCTGACTCACAGACACGGACCCCTCATAGCTTACGTCTCCTTCTCCCCTGCTTTTCTCCTCCCCCGTTCCATTCCCTCAACCCCTCCTTTAAAAACCTCTCAGTAAATCTAAGTTTTGGGGACGGGACAGCCTACCATCTCCTTCGTCTGAATACATCTGCTTTTCTAACACCAACCGTTTGACTTCTGAGTCTTTTTTTCCTTCTCAAGGGGGCGGGCAGCCGGACCTCAGTTCAGTAACAGACTGTTAAGAACCAGCCAGGAGTTGAGTGCCTTGGGCGGCCTATCCCACCCCACTTCAGTAGGAACGAGGCTGGGTCTGCCTGTGATGCCAGCTGCCTGTGGTAAGCCGGCCCTGAGGTTGGGCATCTCGGGATCCCTCCCAGCAGCTGCTGGACCTCATTTGTTCTGGGGAGGGCTCTCTGAAGTCCAGCAACAGCGTTAACCACCGATTCCCTGCCTTCTGTTTGGTGAAGAAAAGCAGTGTTAGTGAGGAGCCACCGACTCTTGGGTTGGGTAAGTTGCTCCAGCATGCACACTGTCAGTCCTCTATTCACACTGTTTGTTAGGAAAAGGTACCATCAGTGTGGAAGATGACTTATTGAAACTCAGACCAACCACTCGTCTGGAGGAGTGCTCTGCTTGGTATTTTGGTGTGCACACCAAAGCTGTTTTCCTGCACCGTTTGTTTATGAGCTAGCTCGGTGTTTGGAGACAGCTGTAGAACACAGAATACAATACAGCATTCTATTTGGAAGTGCTTCATCTGTTTGTTTGACTTTTCTGGGTGTGTGAGTGTGAAAGCAAAACTAATATCATGGGCAATTTCTCTTCTATCCCAGCTCAAAGTACTTTGGGCTATATTCTGGAAGATCGGCCAGCTTTTAGTTATGCACCCATGACTAAGAAAGGAATGATGCTCTATTGCAATAATGTGTGGATTATGTATGTGTTAGACTCTGGAGAAAGGTGGCCACTAAATGGATCTCTTAATTATCATACCTTGGTACAATTGGAATTGTTTTGCCAAAGACAAGGCAAATCAGATGAAGTATCTTATGTTCAGTCTTTTATGCTTTTACATAATTGGGACTCTTTAAGAGAAGGATCAGGGTCCAAATTAATGATACAATGAGGTGGCTCCTCCAAACTCTCTGATAAGCCATCCTGTTATCCCCCTTTGCCAGACAATGAGAATAAAAGGATAATGAAATGGAAAATCAATAGTTGCTAGAGGCTTTGAGTCCTATGAGACCTGCAGTGGCACCCCTTCCTGAGCCACTGTCTGAGGCACCTCAGCCTCATATGGTGGCCCCAGGGCTTCCTGATGATCAGTTAAGTGAGGCATCATCCTCACTCCAGTATGATCAGGGCCCAGGAACGGTCTCTCCTTCTAAGACCTGTCAGGGCACCCATTTCAGCCCAGGTGCATACCTAACCATAGCGGAGGGCAATTTCCACTCTGCCAATTCCCAGTTTGTGGACTGAATGTGCATGGCCAACCTACAGGATTTTGCTGGGCATATATGCCTTCTTCTACCTTGGATTTGTTAAATTGGAAACATCCAAATCCTCCATATAGAGACAATCCTCAGAAGATGGCTGACTGCTTTACCAATGTTATTAACACCCATTGACCCACATGGGCAGATGTGCAGGCCTTAATGAACATTTTATTAGCAGCTGATAAGACTTGTCATAGATAAGGCAAAAGATGAGGCTTACAGCCTTCATCAAAAGGATCCTAATGGAACCCCAGATACTGCAGGTGCTATGCTCCTTGTTGAGCCTAACTGCAACCCAAATAATGGTGGAATGGGAAGGCATCTCTGATGGCAAATAAGGGGGCCCAGGGACTCCACTAAACCTTTTGGCGCCACTAATTCTTTCCCCATGGGAGCCCCACGTACAACTGACAGTGGGAAATAAATTAATTGATTTTCTACTGGATGCTGGAGCAAGCCACTCAGTCTTAAACATTAAATTAGCTAAAAGTGCTGGGAAGACAGTTCACACAATAGGGGTTACAGGGAGACCCCAACAAAGGCCTTTTTCTTCAACCTCTGGAGTGCCATCTGGGGGATGTGACATTGAGACACAGCTTTCTGCATATGCCTAAGTGTCCCATCCCATCCCTTTGCTGGGAAGTGATTTGCTATATAAATTAAATAAGTGAGTGACTTTTTCTCCTAAGAAACAACATATGCAGATACGAGTGCCTCCCAAGCAAGTCTTACAGTTCCAGATGCTCCTTGCCAGAGTCAGACCTCCAAAAAGTGAACCATTTCCACCTAAAGTCTACGATCAGACAACCACCAACCTGAATCCAGCCACCCTCCTGCTCACTGATGGCACAGAGTACGGCCTATTGTATGACTGCTTTGAGGTTATGGACACAGTCTATTCCAATGGGCTGGGTCTGCTGGACCAACCATTGCCTAACCCACACTGCGAATAGTTCAACAATCGCAGCAGCCTCAGGGAGCACGGACAACATCATGCTGGATATGGAGTGGTGATTTTAACTGAGGTAATAGAGGCCCATGCCCTTCTAACTGGTACCTCAACTCAGAAAGCAGAGCCAACTGCACTTACGTGGGACAAGGAGTGCAACATAAGGGAATCCATCCTTTCGAGGACTGGAAAATAGATTTCATTCCGATGCCCAAGACGACAGGAAACTTTTAATATATGCTTATTATGATGGATACTTTTCTGGGTGGGTTGAAGCCCACCCAACAAGAACAGAGAAGGCTTCAGATGCTGCCAGAATTTTGTTAAAGGAAGTAATAACTAGGTTTGGACTTCCAAGCACAATTCAGAGTGACAACAGACCAGCCTTTGTTTCAAAGGTCACACAGAAGGTGAGCAAGACAAGGCCTTACAGATTAAATCAAAACTACATTCATCATGGAGACCTCAGTCAACAGGTAAGACTGAGAATATGAACCATACTCTGAAAAGACCATAGCAAAACTTTGTCAAGAGACTCATTTAGGGCCGGCCCGGTGGCGCACTCGGTAGAGTGCGGCGCTTGGGAGCGCGGCGGCGCTCCCACCGAGGGTTCGGATCCGATATAGAGACCGGTCCACTCACTGGTTGAGCGCGGTGCGGGCGCAACACCGAGGGTTGCGATCCCGTTACCGGTTACAAAAAAAGACAAAAAGGAAAAAATAAAATAAAAAAAGAGACTCATTTAACCTGGAAGAAGGTGTCACCAATTGCCTTGCTTAGGGTCTGGGTTGCACCTAGAAGTGG